ATTCCATGGTGTATATGTGCCACATTTTCCCTATCCAGTCTATCGTCGATGGGCATTTGGGTTGGTTCCAGGTCCTTGCTATTGTAAACAGTGCTGCAATGAACATTCGTGTACACATGTCCTTATAGTAGAACGATTTGTAATCCTTTGGATATATATCCAGTAATGGGATTGCTGGGTCAAATAGAATTTCTATTTCTATGTCCTTGAGGAATCGCCACACTGTCTTCCACAATGGTTGAACTAATTTACACTCCCACCAACAGTGCAAAAGTGTTCCTATTTCTCCACATCCTCTCCAGCATCTGCTGTCTCCAGATTTTTTAATGTTCGCCATTCTTACCGGCATGAGATGGTATCTCAATGTAGTTTTGATTTGCATTTCTCTTATGACCAGTGATGATGAGCATTTTTTCATATGTTTGTTGGCCTCACGTATGTCTTCTTTTGTAAAGTGTCTGTTCATATCCTTTGCCCACTTTTGAATGGGCTTGTTAGTTTTTTTCTTGTAATGATTTCCATTCTTTTGCATTTTCTGAAGAGTGTTTTACTTCCAGTTATGTGGTCAATTTTAGAATAAGTGCAATGTGATGCTTAGAAGAGTGTATATTCTGTTGATTTGGGGTGGAGAGTTCTGTAGATGTCTATTATGTCCACTTGGTCCAGATCTGAGTTCAAATCCTGGATATCCTTGTTAATTTTCTGTCTCATTGATCTGTCTAATATTGACAGTGGGATGTTAAAGTCTCCCACTATTATTGTGTGGGAGTCTATGTCTCTTTGTAGGTCTTTATGGCCTTGCTTTATGACTCTGGGTGCTCCTGCATTGGGTGCATATATATTTAGGATAGTTAGCTCTTCCTGTTGCATTGATCCCTTTACCATTATGTAATGCTCTTCTTTGTCTCTTTTGATCTTTGTTGATTTAAAGTCTGTTTTATGAGAGACTAGGATTGCAACCCCTTCTTTTTTTTTTTTTTCCTTCCCATTTGCTTGGTAAATACTTCTCCATCCCTTTATTTTGAGTGTGTATGTGTGTCTTTGCACATAAAGTGTGTCTTCTGAATACAGCACACTGATGGGTCTTGACTCTTTATCTAGTTTGCCAGTCTGTTTCTTTTAATTGGGGCATTTAGCGCATTTACATTTAATGTTAATATTGTTATGTGTGAATTTGATCCTGCCATTATGATGCTAATTGGTTATTTTGCCTGTTAGTTGATGCAGTTTCTTTTTTTTTTTTTTTTTTTTGCTTGAAAACTTTATTAAAATAAGGATTAAACCTGAAAAAAAGAGCGATGAGAATGCTAGCCCTTTGCATAAAATCAGCAAGAAAAAGGAAACAGGGAGAGAAAGAGAAGAAAGAAAGGGAGGGAGGGGCAGTTTCTTTATAGTGTCAATGGTCTTTACAATTTTGTATGCTTTTGCAGTGGCTGGTACTGGTTTTTCCTTTCCATGTTTAGTGCTTCCTTCAGGAGCTCTTGCAAGGCAGGCCTGGTGGTGACAAAATCTCTCACCATTTCTTGTCTGTAAAGGATTTTATTTCCCCTTTGCTTATGAGGCTTCGTTTGGCTGTATATGAAATTCTGGGTTGAAAATTCTTTTCTTTAAGGATGTTGAATATTGGCCCCCACTCTCTTCTGGCTTGTAGGGTTTCTGCAGAAAGATCCACTGTGAGTCTGATGGGTTTCCCCTTGTGGGTAACACGACCTTTTTCTCTGGCTGCCCTTAACATTTTTTCCTTCATTTCAACCTTCGTGAATCTGACAATTATGTGCCTTGGGGTTGCTCTTTTTGAGGAGTATCTTTGTGGTGTTATCTGTATTTCCTGAATTTGAATGTTGGCCTGTCTTGCTAGGTTGGGGAAGTTCTCCTGGGTAACATCCTGAAATGCGTTTTCCAACTTGGTTCCATTCTCCCCGTCACTTTCAGGTACTCCAGTCAAATATAGGTTTGGTCTTTTCACATAGTCCCATGTTTTTTTGAGACTTTGTTTATTCCTTTTCATTCTTTTTTCTCTTGTTTTCTCACCTTCTTTGAGTTCATCTTGAATCTGTGGTATCCTTTCCTCCACTTGATTGATTCGGCTATTGATACTTGTGTATGCTTCATGACGTTCTCAGGCTGTGGTTTTCAGCTCCATCAGGTCATTTATGTTCTTCTCTAAACTGGTTGTTCTAGTTAGCAATTTGTCTAACCTTTTTTCAAGGTTCTTAGCTTCCTTGCATTGGTTTAGAACATGCTTCTTTAGCTTGGAGGAGTTTGTTATTACGTGCTTTCTGAAGCCTACTTCTGTCAGTTCATCAAACTCATTCTCTGTCCAGTTTTGTGCCCTTGCTGGTGAGGACTTGTGATCCTTTGGAGGAGAAAAGGCATTCTGGTTTTGGAATTTTCACCCTTTTTGTGCTGGTTTCTCCCTATATTCGTGGCTTTATCTACTTTTGGTCTTTGATGTTGGTGGCCTTTGAATGGGGTCTCTGAGTGGCTGTCTTTTGTTGATGTTGGTTAGTATTCCTTTCTGTTTGTTAGTTTTCCTTCTAACAGTCAGCCCTCTGCGGCAGGTCTGCTGGAGTTTGCTGGAGGTCCACTCCAGACCTTGTTTGCTTGTATCACCAGCAGAGGCTGCAGAACAGCAAATATTGCTGCCTGTTTTTACTTTCATACTGTTACCAGGAAGGGGTCCTGATCCAGACCCCGAAAGTGTTCTTGGATCTCATGCAAGAAAGAGCTTGAGGCAGATCCATAGAGTAGAAGTGAAAGCAGGTTTACTAAGAAAGCAAAGGAATAAAAGAATGGCGATTCCGTAGGCACAGCAGCCCTGAGGGCTGGTGGTTGCCCATTTTTATGGTTATTTCTTAAGTATGTACTAAACAAGGGGTAGATTATTCATGCCTCCCCCTTTTAGATCACGTAGGGTAACTTCCTGACATTGCTATGGCGTTTGAAAATTGTCACGGTGGGAGTGTCTCTTAGCATGCTATTGCATTATAATTAGCATGTAATAAGCAGTGAGGGTGACCAGAGGTCACTCACTTTGCCATTTTGGTTTGGGGATATTTAGCTGGCTTCTTGACTTCAACCTTTTTTATCAGCAAGATCGTTATGACCTCTTCTTGAGCCAACCCCCTACCTCACCTTTGACTTAGATTGCCTGTCTGCGAATGCAGCCCCGTAGGTCTCAGCCTTATTTTACCTTACTCCTCTTCAAGATGGAGTTTCTCTGATTCAGAAGCCTCTGACAGTCGCGTATTTGAGGGTGACAAATTGTATCCCCTAACTGATATCATACTCTTTTGTTCCTCTTCCTGCAAAACAATTCATTCTTGCCTTCTCAGTGTTTTCTTAGCAGGGGTCTGGTCATAAAATCCTGAAATTGTGTTTTTAAAAGAAACAATGTATAGAAGCAGAAAAATATTTTTCTACTATGCTTTTATTACAGTGTAGAAATTTTAAAATATTAGTGTTACCTATATGAAAACTTTATGATGAATAGCTCTGTTAAGTATGATGTTGAGGTAGAATTAAAGCATCTGATTAAGTGGTAGAAAAAAATCATGAGGCGAGAAACTCTGGATTCATATTTTGAAATATTTAAACTTAGGAAGTTTTGATGTGTATCTTGAGTGAACACAGTAAATATTTAGAATGCTACAATTATAGAATGCTAATTCTATAACTGAACAACTTAAAGATTGGATTAAACAACTTGAAAATTAAACAGCTTAAAAATTTCCTTTACAAAATGTGTTATATCTCAGATATATATGTATAGAATGCTAATACGTATACATGCAGCATTTCTAAAACCTACTGATTTCAGAACACATATCCCCCTTCCACAATCTCCTGTGATTAGTTGTTTGAAATGACCTCATTTTGGAATACATGCAAGTAATACATATTAGGGTAATGCTTTTTTCTAATTCATCTAACTTATTGCCACCAGCATCACTTGTAAAAACATAATCTTTTTATTACCCAGCTTTAAAATGTTTTTGTTTTACATTGCTTAAAAGTTGACATTTGAATTTTTTCACTATTTGGCCCTAAATCCTACCTTTCCAGCATTATCCCTTTCATCTGGATCCCAACCCTTCTTAATATATTTCCTTTGCATCCCTGCCTTCCCACCCTCCACTTTAACTACCTTAGAGTATTAATGCAACCTCATTCATGTTTGTAAGTCTGACTCAAATGGTGCCTCTTGGGCAAGGCTTCTTTCTTTTCTTCTTTATTTACTTCTTTCTTCTCCTCTTTCTTTCTTTCTTTCTTTCTCTCCTTCCTTCCTTCCTTCCTTCCTTCCTTCTTCCTTCCTTCCTTCTTTCTTTTCTTTCTTTCTCTCTCTTCCTCCCTCCCTCCCTTCCTTTCTTTCTCTCTCTCTCCTTCTTTCTCACTCCCTCTCTCTTTCTCTCTTTCCTTCTTTCCCTCCCTATTCTTGGAAGCCAGGAAGGTGTAGTGTCTCCTAATGACTCCTCTGGGAAGGAATTCGTTATTTCTTTGTACCCATGGTCCTTGCCTGCATTTCAGTTCCAGTGCTTTGTGCATTCTGTTTATTATTGCCTTGTGATCAGCAAAAGGCCCGAGTGAAGATATTTCTACTAAAACCAATAACTGAAATGCTGTTTTCAAAACATGAAAAAATAACTGGCCTGTAAAATATTTGGAAAGCTTCATTGAAACCCCACTTTCTATGTGAAAAATATTCAACACTGTTACATGTGTAGGTTTTACCTTTCATACATAAAAGCTTAACTGTTTTTCTCATCTTTTTAGCAAAGTTCCAGATATATGGAAGGAAACAGAAACATTTAACAATATGAGTTTATAGACATTAATATGTAGTATACTAATATTTTGTTTTATTAATATAAAAGTATTTAAAAATGTTTTCTAAGAAGTTTTAGGAAAATAAATACTAAATATAATAGAAAAATTAAATTCCTTTAGTTTTGTCAGTTTAAACATATATATATAAGTAAACACATTTGTTTTAATCCTAGGAATTAGCAAAGATAAAGCAGGAAACAAGAGAAAAAGAAAATTTGGTTAAGGAAAAGATCAAGTTTTTGGAAAGTGAGATTGGGAATAACACAGAGTATGAGAAAAGAATTTCTGTGGCTGATCGTAATCTCTTAAAATACAGAATGGCGTATCAGTACCATGAAGCTGGTAGAATCCAGCTGAAGGATGAGGTATGTCAACTAAAAAAAGCTGGTTTGTACGTTCATGACAAATTGCTATGAAGTATAAAATAAGCATAAAGTTTTTCCTGTGATGAAGAAACTTCTAGTTTGTTTTTTTTTCATGTCTCTTCGTTTTGTGGAACTTTTGGGATACTCTCTGATTAAGCCCCTGATTAAGCACCCCGGGGTGCCATTCACATCACAGGTATATGGTTTGCAAATATTTTCTTCCATTCTGTAGGTTGCCTTTTCATATTGTTGGTGGCTCCTTTTCCTTAAATAAACTTTTTAGTTTGATGTAGTCCTGCTTGTTTATTTTTGCTTCTGTTGCCTGTAATTTGATGTCAAATTCAAAACATCATTACAGATACCAGTGTCAAGGAGCTTTTTTCTTATGTTTTCTTTAAGAAATTTTACAGTGTCAGGTCTTACATTTAAGTTTTTAATTCATTTTGAATTAATTTTTGTGTATGATACTAGAGAAAAGTCCAATTTCTTTCTTTTTTTTTTTTTTGCATGTGGCTATCCAGTTTCCTTAATACAGTCGATTGAAGAGACTGTCCTTTCCCCATTGTGTATTCTTGAAACCTTTGGTCAAAATTAGTTGCTCATGTATGCATGGGTTTATTTCTGGGTTCTCTATTCTGTTCCATTGTTCTGTGTGTCTTTTTTTTTTTTTTGCCAGTAGAGTCAGCTTTCCTTATCCATGGATTCTGCATGTGCAGATTCAACCATCGATAAAAAATATTCAGAAAAGAAACCCAATAAAATAACAGTATAGCAATAAAAAGGATACAAATTTTAAAAATGTAACAATTATTTACATAGCATTTACATTGTATTAGGTGTTATAAATAAGAGATTATTTACAGTATATAGTAGGATATATATATAAGGTTATATGGAAATACATGTCATTTCATATGAGGAAACTACAAATCTGTAGATTCTGGTATCTGTGAGGGATTCTGCAGGCAATCCCCTGTGTATGCCAATGGATGAATGAACCATTTTCTTTTGATTACTTTAGCTTTGTAATACAATTTTAAATAAAAAAGTATGTTGCCTCCAGCTTTGTTCTTTCTGCTTAAGATTACTTGAGCTATTTGAGATCTTTTATGATTCTGTGTGAATTTTAGAATTTTCTATTTTGGTGAAGAATGACATTGGAATTTTGATATTGTATTGAATCTATCAACTAAATAACACAGAGAGGCCCTCTAAAAATATTGAGCTTAATTAGGAATGAGCAGGAAATTTGCAAATCCAGGACATACAGGCTATGACAGATCATAGGCATATCTAGGGAGATAAAGGAAGGCACAAGTTTTTAAAGGTAAAATGAGAAAGTTTACCTAACTTGTTTTAAAATAATAATCTTTGACTACGAGGATCAGTAAGGGTAGTGTCAGTCCAAGGCTGATCAGTCTGTTGCTGGCCAGATGTCTTTGTAGAAGGGTTTTTTTTTTTTTGCAACGTTGGTCTTTATGCAAGTCTGTGGCTCTGGCAGAGTCTCTTCGGGTAGTTCTTGTTATCTGGCAAATATGTGTGAGAACTCTCTCTTCCTGGCCTTCCCCAGCTCAGTTTTGTGAGTTTGACACAAGTGACTCCATTTTGATCTTGACAACTTTCACAAGTACGTAGATCACTTTGAATAGTATGAACCTTTTAACAGTATTAATTTTTCCAGTCCATGAACACAGGATATCTTTATGTCCTCTACAGTTTGGTTCATCAATGTTTTATAGTTTTTAGTTTACAGATCTTTTTTTCCTTGGTTAAATTTATTCCTAAGTATTTTATTCTTTTTGATGCCATTGTAAATGGGATTGTTTTCTTGATTTCTTTTTTGGATTGCTTGTTTTAAGTGTATAGAATGTAACTGGTTTTGTCTGTTGATCTTGTATACAGAAACCTTGCTGAATATGTCTGTTCTGAGAGTATTTGGTGGAGAGTTTAGGGTTTTTGCAAAGGCCCTTAATGAAAGAGAAAATTTGTGTCTCAGGCTTTCTATTTTAATAATTGTGATTAATTGTAACATGTAGTTTACTATTCATTAACAGTAAAAATATAGTTATTAGAAGGCTGATGTATTAGAACCTTTTGAGATTTTTCAAATCCAATTAAACTTGTGATTCTTATGGGTGCATATATATCCATTTATCTTGAGTTTGGGAATGTTTTTTTCTGAGAAGTTCTAGTGTAATGACAGATTTCTGCATTTACTTTCAACACATGTGTTCTCTATAATTTGCTAGGATTATACAACAAAAACAATTAAAATTTGATATCAGATCAATATGGAAATCTGTTTATATATTAAATATAAGAAAATGGCTACATTTTTATGGGTGTGATGTAGGTTAGAACTTGGGCAGAATAAAACTAAGAAATGAAGTTATAAGATACAGAGTAAATATGTAATTTCTGTCTGTTAACGAATAAATAGCTGGATTGTTTAAAAGCCACTGTGAATAGAACTTCCAGTGATTTAGAAGCTCTGAGGAAAAATATTTCCAAGATAAAGAAGGATGTTCATGAAGAAACAGCAAGGTAAGAAAAAAGCTATTTAAATATGTTTTATATTTACTGTATCTGGAAAATTATTAAATACTTAAGACCATTTTTTGGTTAAATGACTGCAAGATTTTAGCTACTACATTATTAAACTTAAAAAAATTTTACTCATATTTTCATCACAAATACTCAGAAGCCATATTTTTATGGTCTATTAAATAGTGGTAATAAAAAGGTTTACAGCAAAGAATCTTCAAGTTATACAAATAAATATTAGGATAAACTATTCTTTGTATTAAATGCTTCTTAGGCATGTTTTCTATCTTTTTGTGATAAATCCTCTTTAGGTTACAAAAAACTAAAAATCATAATGAGACAATAAAAACAAAATTAAAGGAGATAACTGAGAAAACCATGTCTGTAGAAGAGAAAGCTACCAATTTGGAAGATATGCTAAAGGAGGAGGAAAAAGATGTGAAGGTGAAGTTTAATTTTTTTTAATCACAGAAAATTTAGCAACAGTGAATTAATTAGACTCTTAGAATCAGAGCTTGAGGAGATCTTATAAGAAGCTGATTTTTGGTATGATCCCATTTATAATCTGGGTTTGGACATATTTTCATGCATCGCTTCTGAAGATACACTTAGCCTCCTGTCTTCTTTTTTTTTTTTTTGAGACAAAGTCTTCTTCTTGTTGCCCAGGCTGGAGTTCAATGGCACAATCTCAGCTCACTGCAACCTCTGCCTCCTAGGTTCAAGCGATTCTCCTGCCTCAGCCTCCTGAGTAGCTGGGACTGCAGGCACCTGCCAACACGCCTGGCTAATTTTTGTATTTTTAGTAGACACAGGATTTCACCATGTTGGTCAGTCTGGTCTCAAACTCCTGACCTCAGGCAATCCGCTCTCCTCAGCCTCCCAAAGTGCTGGGATTACAGGCGTGACCCATCACGTCCAGCCAGCCTCCTCTCTTAAGCTACTAATTTTCCTGTGCCAGTCACAGACTTGTTTTGTGTCATATTCAGGTTTATTGGTTACTAAAGGAAAATATGCTTATCTGGGTATAAGATCACAGAGGCAAATTATTTCAGCATTTAAGAATGATAATTTTCAAATGATTGTGGCATGATACGTGAATTTAAAGCCTAGAACACATTGGTCATGAGGCTTCCAGGTCAAGACGGGTTTGCTTCCTGAGAGAGAAGCAGTGGGAATGGGGCTCATTTCTGTTTCCTAGAGCTGCACGCACATAGTGAAGAGGCCGACTGGAGGCAAAGAGTGAGTGACTGGTAGTTCCTGGAGTGTGCTGGGGCCAGCTCCTAACCAGCTTACAAGAGCCAATCGTTCAACTTCTAGGAATCTTCCTATAATTAAAATTATGTAAACTCACAATTAAATAAATGGCACTTACAAAAACAGTAATACATACTCAGCACTCATTACTTCCAAATATTTTATTTTATTCTGTGCTCTTAAGGCTACTTATGTCTGTTTTGTCTGTGTGTTGGAAATACCACACAATGGTCTGCTTCTGTGAATTTCTTCCCAACCCTGCCTTTAGTGGAATCATGTTAGTAGCATGAAATTGGCCATAATGGGGGTATTTATACTGCGGAAATCAGATTCTCCCCTAGTCTCTTATCTCCTGGAGAGATGGCTGAACATTCACTTGCTCACCACTGGATAGTGCCTAAAAGGCGGGAGATTGGGTGATGAGATTTCTTCTCTGTAGCACCCTCAAGACTTGAGTAAACTCTGTGAATGTACGGGCCGTATGTTTCCAGTAGACTTCGTTTTTTTGAGGAAATCAGGCCAGCATCTAGATAGGGTAACATGGGATGAAATAAGATGACAGGTCAGGGTGCATGACACAGGAATGGAAACCATTCTAGTCTACTAGAATAGAGTAGACCAAAATACATGTTGGGGACTTGTTAAAATTGTGGGAAGAGCTTTATCTTCTAGAGGCTAAAATGATGGAGAGTCCAAATTTATTTATGAGTGCCTACATTATTGTGTTCATGTAAATAACACATTTCAAGATACCTACTTTCATTAATCACTATACTTCTTATCAGGAAGTAGATGTTCAACTGAACCTCATAAAAGATGTGCTGTTTAAGAAAGCTCAGGAGTTACAGACTGAAACGATGAAAGAAAAAGAGGTTGTATCAGAAATTGAAGGAACTCGTTCCTCTCTGAAACATCTCAACCATCAGTTACAAAAACTGGATTTTGAAACCTTGAAGCAGCAAGAAATTATATACAGCCAGGTAGGTGTTACTTTTGTGAATATCTTCCATATTGATTTGTGACAGCTGTGATGGTCAAGACATGCCAGTGTTCTAAGGAAACAAAGAATTCTAAGTACTCTCTTGGAGGACAGGCAGATGCTGAAGGTGAGACATCATGTTAGGTTAGGAGTAGGGTGAGGGAGCCTTAAAAGCTGTATTTTCCCCTCAATCTGAAATAAGCAGGCAAGAGGAGAGAGAACTCTAGTGAGGGAGAACCATGTTTTAAAGGAACCTGGACATTTGCATCCAGAGTAAAAAACAAGACGGCATGAGATGCCTGAAACCCAGAAAGAGTGGGTGTTGATTGTCTTTCAACACTGCCATGTTGTCTTTCAACAGTGCCCCACCCTCACTGCCATGCCAGTAGAGGAAAAGCTTTTTTTTTTTCAGTTTTGTCTCTTTTTGTTCTATTTATGTATTTGTGTTAATTTCTTAATATTCTCCATCTCTACATCTTAATTTGCTCATCTAATTTATATTCTTAGTTTTTAAAAATTACAGACATTAAAGTATAATATTAAGAACAATTAATTAGAAGTTGATATTTGAGCCGGGTGCGGTGGCTCAAGCCTGTAATCCCAGCACTTTGGGAGGCCGAGGCGGGTGGATCACGAGGTCAAGAGATCGAGACCATCCTGGTCAACATGGTGAAACCCCGTCTCTACTAAACCTACAAAAATTAGCTGGGCATGGTGGTGTGTGCCTGTAATCCCAGCTACTCAGGAGGCTGAGGCAGGAGAATTGCCTGAACCCAGGAGGCGGAGGTTGTGGTGAGCCGAGATCACGCCATTGCACTCCAGCCTGGGTAACAAGAGCGAAACTCCGTCTCAAAAAAAAAAAAAAAAAAAAAAGAAGTTGATATTTGAATGTTTCATGGCTAACAATTTGTGACTGTGTTTTGTATCCCTTAGAAAATGTGCCCTCAGAAATCCAAGTTCATGTAAATCCAGTGAATTTACTGAGATTCCATCATGGTAGTATGATAAACATCCCCCAGCTCTGTCATATTTTCAGAAGATTGTTTCTGTGTCTATCATGTACCTTGATTGTTGAGATATAGTTTATTTTTGTTCCTCTTAGAGTGAAAAGGATTTTGTCCTGAATTACTGAAAGACTAAAGTGACTTTATTACATGATAATGCCCAGTCCAAACTCTTTGTTTTTACACTTATAGAAATGCTTTTGTTTCTTTGTAATAACTATTTTTTTTTTTTAAAAAAAAAAACTGTAACAGGATTTTCACATTCAACAAGTGGAACGGAGAATGTCACGGTTAAAGGGAGAAATTAATTCAGAAGAAAAACAAGCCCTTGAAGCAAAAATTGTTGAACTTAAGAAGTCTTTGGAAGAGAAAAAATCTACATGTGGCCTTTTGGAAACACAGATCAAGAAGCTTCATGTAACTTAGCCAAAATACATTTTATATTTCAGATATCCTAGTCTTTCTGTTTTAAGTCAACATGTTCCTAAGACTACCTTGGATAGGGTGTTTGCCAGTCTACACACACACATAACAAATGTATGAACGATGTTCTTATTTCCGTACTATTAGTGTGTAACGTTACCATTGATAATGCAATTAGTATATGCTAAATATTGTATGACATGCCTCTAGTATTTAATTTCATAATCCTTACCGCTGTCCTGTGAGGAAGATACTGTTATCTGTTTTGTAGATTAAGTAATTAGTCCAGGTTATGCAGCGAGTCTGTGGAGAGCTAGGATTTGACGCCTGCCGCATTTGACTTCCAAATACTCTTCAAGAGTACACTGTTCAGAACATCGATGAGTTCTAGTTTTCTATTTTATATCTGCCATAACAAATAACTTGATTGCCCGTTGTCTTTCAAATGCCATCTACAGAGAAGCTGCTCTTTGATGAGTCAGCAGTTGTTACTCAAATCTTTACTTATTTATGATATTTGAAATGATTCGATTCTGTTAATAAGGCAAGAACGTCTTCATCTTTAAGCATTTTATTATGTTTACTGTAATATAAAACCTGTGTTAAAGTTTGACCAGAGAGTAAAAGTGAGAGAGTGAGCGTGGACTTGAATGGGGTGAGAACTTAGCAGGGTCTAAATGTTACTTACCACTGGAAAGGCTATTGATGAGTGTCCTCTGGTGGTTATAAAAAGAATTGCCCTAAATTCCTTCAGGGCTGCAAAAGGTGGAGAGGTATTACTTATTTTTTTCCTCTTATTTTAAAAAGACAAAATTTTGCTTTGGAGTAGTTTGTCATCTGATGAAATATTTTTAAATTGTTACCCTTGTTTAGTGGAAAAAGAACAGTTGTTTTTGGATCAGAATGAGTTTTAAATTTCAAGGCTATACCACTACTACTATTTCAACTTTTCTGAGGTCTAGTTTACTCATCTATTAAATGGGGGAAAATTAATATTATTCTAGGACATTTGGGAGAACTAGAATTTGTATCTTAGCACAATACTTCAGTAGGTACTCAATATGTGGTATTGTTTTGATTATTTAGAATACAAGAATATTAATGCTATAGAATATATAGCAGGATGAGATAAATAAATGTATAGCAGGAAGAGGGATAATAAAATGCAGGATTATTATAAATATCTGAGTATATAATTTAATGTAAGATATATAATATAGTATGTATTTAATATTTTTGTTAATATTTAAAACATATTTATATACCTTTTTTTTCTTTTTACAGAATGATCTTTTTTTTATCAAGAAGTCAAACAGTAAAAGCAATGATGAAAAACAGTCCCTTATGAGCAAAATAAATGAACTAAACCTTTTCATTGACAGATCAGAGAAAGAACTTGATAAAGCCAAAGCTTTTAAGCAGGTGCAGTAAAATTGTATGCATATGTAGTATTGAAAACCATGTTTCCATGTTAATTGTAGACAAAAAATACAGCTAATTATGAAAAAGTCACTGTAATCACTATACCCAATATAAACAGCGTTGAAGTCTGTTACTTCTTTCTAGTCTTTTAAATAAATTTGGCTTTTTATGGTGTATTAAAAAAATTTCTACATACCATATGTTTTTTAAAATGTTAACTATTCTTTGAAAAATAGATTTGAAAGCATTCTGTAAGTGCATTGAATGAAGTTACCATAATTTATTTAAACGTCCCCTATTTTTTAGGATTTTGTTTCTTTCCAATGCTTGGCTATTGTAAATAGTACTACATGTACAATGCAGTCATTCAATTAGTTGTTCATTGTATAGTTATTCAATTAGTTCCTTTGGATAAATTCCTACCTATGTAATTACAGTTCAAAAAGAAATGAATATTTTTAATGTCTTGAAACTATTTTCAATCCCAATTACCTTCTAGAGGGTACCATTAATACTCCTGTAAGCATTCTGTTTTATTCAGTACCACTGAGGCTGGATATCCTAATTTAGAAAATTGTTGGCAATTTGATAGTCAAATATGGTATCTCATCGTTTTAGTCTGCATTTTTAAAGTTGGCGGTTTAAAAATATTTTGTTTAATGATAAATTTTCAAACATTTATTTTTTTTTTTTTTTGTTTTTTGAGATGGAGTTTCGCTCTTGTTGCCCAGGTTGGAGTGCAATGGCGTGATCTTGGCTCACTGCAACCTCCGCCTCCCAGGTTCAAGCGATTCTCCTGCCTCAGCCTCCTGAGTAGCTGGGATTATAGGCGCGCGCCACCACACCCAACTAATTTTTGTATTTTTAGTAGAGACAGGGTTTCACCATGTTGACCAGGATGGTCTCGATCTCTTGACCTCGTGATCCAGCCGCCTGGGCCTCCCAAAGTGCTGGGATTATAGGTGTGAGCCACCGCGCCCGGCCTCAAACATTTGTGTTTAAATAAAAATGTTTGAAACACCTTCTCTGTTAGGTCATGTTCCATATTTTTTCTCTTTGGAGCTCTAGTTTGTATTCTTGGACTATTTTTCCACTGGGAGGTTGACATACATAAATTGCTTTACAAAAGATTTTCATATGTAAAAATATTATTTCTGTCATAAATATTGTAAATATTTTCCCCATTTACCTTTACAGTTTTATTCAGTGTTTGTGACATAAAACTTTTCTTTAAACATCAAATCTTTAGGTTTCTTTTTAATTTTTATGCTTAGAAACTTCTTGGTTACACTAAAAATAAGTCCAATGTTTATTATGTCTAGTAGTTACACTGGTCTCATCTCTTAAGATTTTTCATTCATCTGGAATATATTTTTGGTACATGTGAGATATAAGTATCTAATCTCTCCAACTGAAAACCTATGTTTGTGAAATAATAAAATCTGATATTATGGAGCGTTTGATTCTGGGCTTTCTATTCTGAAAACTGATTGATATGTGTATTCTTATGTCAGTATTCTACTCGTGACCGAATTGTTTTAAGATAAAAATATATTTCCACATTATTTTGTGAGACTCAGAGTATAAAAATGGCCATTCATAGGACTTTATGTTTTCTAGATATTATTAAGTTTAATTTCATGAATCACTTCTTCCTTTTGTTTTTTATAATAGCAAAGCTTAACTTTAACATTGAATTATAAAAAGATTTGAAATAACCATAAACCCTTTTCCTAAAAGAAAAAAACGTATGACTCTGAACAATTTAAATTCAGCCCTAGTTAATATCTTGGTCAATGATTAAATTAGAAAAAGGTATATTTTCAATTTTGACTTATGTAGTAATAAAAAGAAAAATATCTTGGTTTTGTGATAAAAAATAATTTCAACATTTGACCATTTTTTTTGTTGATAGGATTTGATGATAGAGGACAATCTTTTAAAACTTGAAGTTAAGCGTACTCGAGAAATGCTTCACAGTAAGGCAGAAGAAGTTCTTTCCCTGGAAAAAAGAAAACAGCAATTATACACAGCCATGGAAGAGCGAACTGAAGAAATTAAGGTTCATAAAACAATGCTTGCATCACAAATAAGATATGTTGATCAAGAACGGGAAAACATAAGGTAATTTTTAGTTTTAAAACACTGCTGAGGAACTTGGAAAAAAAAATAAGGGTGATGTCAGGAGAACTGGCTGCCCCCTAACATCCTGGATGTGCATCTTTTTCTTATTCGTTTGAAATGGCTTTTCATGTAAGACATAGGGCATGTTATAGCCATAAATCTAGGCTCTTCCTTTGGTTAATTCTTCATTCTTTGGATTGTCCGTTTTACATTAAGATCACAAATCTACTTGGAATTGCTTTTCATGTGTGGTTTTTGTTAAAGTCCAATAACATGTCTTTTATAAAATAGATATTCAATAGCTGCATCTATTGAAGTGATTTTATCATAGAAAATTTGCACATCTTTATGTGCAAAGATTATTTCCACCTACAAGGTTTTTTTTTTTTTAAATGTTACTGTCAATTTCATTTTTGGTTTGTTGCTGATATGTAGAAATCAGTTAATTTCTGTATACTCAGCAACCTTGCTTAACAATCCTGTTGGAACAATCAGTAGATTCTAATTCTATATACTGTATTTCATTTATATTGTTTTCAAACAATAAGTTTTATTTCTTGCTTTCCAATCTTTATAACTTTTCTTTTTTCCCAGTTCAGTACTGAAGAGCAGTGTTAATTACAGGTATCTTTGTCTTGTTTCCTGATGTCAAACAGAGGGCTTTCATTGTTTTTTCATTAAGCATAAGGTTTACTGTAGTTTGTTTCTGGTTGTTTTAGATATCTTTTACCATATTAAGTGAGCTCCCATCTATTTTTAATATTTACTAAGAGGTTATTTTAGTTTGTTTAATCAAGAATGGATGTTACTTTTATTACATGCTTTCTCAGGATTCACTGACAAGATGTAGCTTCTTCAATCTGTTAATGTGTTTAACATACAGATTAATTTTTCAAAGTCAAACCAACCTTACATTCTAGAATAAACCCAACTTGTCTGTCACATACTATCTTTTGCATACATCAAGATTTTGTTAGGGAATATTTTAATACAACTTTTGCGTCTATGTTCATGTGCACAAACCCATAATTCTCCTTGCTCTACTGTCCTTGTCAAGTTATCAAGCCATTAAGCTTATGTCTGCCTTCATAAAATGACTTGTGTGTATTTCTTATTTTTCTCTACTCTGAATATGTTTCTAAAAGAGTGGAATTATGTTTTTCAAAGACCTCATTGGAAAAAAAGCCATTGGGAGCTTGAAGTTTTCTAGGGGAACATTTTCAACTATTGGTTGAAATAGTTGAATAGTCCTACTGATTACAGGACAATGCAGATTTTGTATTTCTTATTGATTCCATTTTGGTAAATTTTATTTTTCTCTAGGAAAAATTTTCTATATCCAAATTTTCAAATTTATTGCCATAAAGTTGTTTGTAATATGATTTTATTATTTAATAGTTGTAGTATTTTTAGAGATGACTCCTTTTGTATTCCTGACATTGGTTATTTCTTTATCCACTCATTGGTTGATTGGCATTTAGGCTGGTTCCAGTCATTGTTTTAATAACTCAACTCTACCACTGTAGACTTTTGGAGCAGGGTAAGTCTCACCACAAATTAATCAGTTTTAACATTATTTGGAAAGGATCTGCTATTATCAGAATCTTCTATTGTCCATTCATTATTTCATTAGTTTCTGATCTTGCCTTTCCTATTTTTCCTTCTTTTAAATGGAGGTTTAAATGTTCTTTTCCTAAATTCTTCAGATGCTTAGCTTATTAATTTTCAGCTTTGAAGTCTGAAAAAATACCTTTAAGTATTAGCTTCATCCCACAAAAAGTTAATATTGCCATTATTTTCTTTTTTGCCTTTCTTCTTTCAATTGTCATAGACTTTTACTTTTTAAACTTTATTGAGGTATATTTGAGATATATAAGTTGCACATAGTTAAAGTATACATTCGATAGGTTTTGACATGTATAATACACCAGAGAAACCATCACCACCATCAAGACAGTGTTTCCGTCACCTCCCCAAGTTTCCTTGTACCCCATTGTAATTCCTCCTTTCAGTACCTCCCAAAGTTTCTCTCTCCAGACAACTGATCTGTCTTTTATCCATATGGTTCAGATTGCATTTTCAAGAGTTTTATGTAAATGGAATCCAACAGTAGGTCCATCTTTTGTTTGGCTTTTTTCATTCAGCATAATTATTTTGAAATTCATCCATGTTGTGTATATCAATATACATTCTTTTTTATCGGGGTTGACACACTTTTTCTCTAAAAGCTAGGTAAGTAACTTACAGTTCCTTGCAGGCCATACGGTCTTTCTTTTATTAGTTTTGTTTGTTTGTTTTCTTTTTTTGATATTTTTTCTCTTTTTTTGAACTTCAGTTCTATGTTTTATTAGTTTTTTTCTAAAAATTTATTTCAACAGTTTTTGGGAAACAGGTGGTTTTTAGCTAAATGGATAAGCTCTTTAGTAGTAATTTCTGATATTCTGGTGTACCTGAACCCAGGCAGTGTACAGTGTACTCAAGGTCTAGTCCTTTATCCCTCAGGCCCCTCTCATATCCCCTGATAAGTCCCCAAAGTCCATTATATCATTTTTTATGCTCTTCCATCCTCGTAGCTTAGCTCCCACTTATAAACAAGAACATAACAGTATCTGGTTTTCCATTCCTGAGGTACGTATGATAATGTTGCCCAACTCCATCATCCAAGTTGCTGCAAATGCCATGATTTTCTTCCTTTTGTGGCTGAGTAGCATTTCATGGTGTATATATACATTTTCTTTATCCACTCATTGGTTGATTGGCATTTAGGCTGGTTCCAATTATTGTTTTAATAACTTAACTCTACCACTGTAGACCGAAAGCCGCCACAGACAATATGTCAAAAAATGAGCATTGCTATTTTCCATAAAACTTTATGAATATTGAAATTTGAAATTTTCATGAAACATCATTCTTTAATTTTTCTAACCACTTACAAATTTAAAAGTCATTCTTTGCTTGTGGATTACACAGAAACAGGTGGCAGGCAGGATGGCTTGCTGACCCTGGCTTTCTCTTGGTAAATAGCAGTATTCCACTGCATGTGTTTACTCCAATCTGTTTATCCATTTACCTGCTGATGGACATTTGAGCTGTTACCAGTTCTTAGCTATTATAAACAAAGGTGCTGTGAACATATGTGTTCCTGGTATGGACATATGCTGTCTTTTCTCTTAGGAGTAAAATTGCTGGATCATGTAGTAGGTACATATTTAACCTTTCAGGAAACGTTAAGAAATTGCCATGTATTCATTATTTCTGTCTTTCCTGCTTTTTGTTGTTTTTACTGAATTGTTTTACTTCTTCTTTATTTGGAAGGTATACAGTCTAATTTTAATTATTTTGCTGGTTATTCTTAGATTTAAAAGAAACCTTAACTATTTCTCGATGAATATGGAAAATTAGTTTGTAATATTTTCCCTTCCTAAAAAATAAGACTTTTAGCATCTTTTGCCTCTTCTTTTCCTCTTCCCATCATTCACATATTGTTGAAACAGTGATTATAGTTTCTTTTTAGTGTTTTTAATCTTATGTCTGTACTTTTTAAAGAACTCCTTAATGTGCACTAAGCTGTACAGCCAAATGCCAGCAATAACTTAAAACTAACTATGTTTTGTTTCTTTTTTTTTTTTTTTTTCATATATCCCTTGTTATCATTCTATTTTCTTGTATTTCATTTTTTGGAGTATGATTTTGAATTTGTTTTTTTTTGAACTGCTGTTTTCTGAAATTTTGCAATCCTTGCATGTTTACTATATAGTTATTCTCCCTTAAACTTGAGTTAGAGATAATTGTGAAACATTGGTTCATATTCTGCTAGATTACAGTGTTGTTTATGAGAAATCTGATTATAGATAAATTTATTTTGTAGGGAAACTGGGTTTTGTTTTCTTTCTGGAAGCTTTGGGATACTCTCTCTTTATCCTTGGTGTTTCATAATTTTCTTGTCTGTGTCCGGGTGTTTTGCCATTTTTAAGTTTCTCTTTCTTGACCCTTCCTGGGTAAACTCTTTTAGTTATTAAAAAAAATTTTTTTTGTCTTAGGATCAGGGGTACACGTGCAGGTTTGTTATACAGGTAAACTTGTGTCATGGGGGTTTGTTTTACAGATTATTTCATTATCCAGATACTAAGCCTAGTACCCAGTAGTTATTTTTTCTGTTCCCTCCACCCACCAATAGGCCCCAATGTCTGTTCTTTGCCTCTTTGTGTCTGTGAGTTAATCATTTAGGTCCCACTTATGAGTGAGAACATGCGGTGTTTGGTTTTCTGTTCCTTCATTAATTTGCCAAGGATAATGGCCTCCAGCTCCATCCATGTTCCCGTGCAAGACAAGATCTTATTCTTTTTTTATGGCTGCATTGTATTCTATGGTGTATATATGCCATATTTTTAAAATCTGTCACTGATGGGTATTTGGGTTGATTCCATGTCTTTACTACTGTGAAGAGTGCTATGACGAACATTCGTGCATGTATGTCTTTATGATAGAATGACTTACATTCCCTTGGGTATATACCCAGTAATGGGATTCCTGGGTTGAATGATACTTCTAAGTTTTTTGAGGAATCACCAAATAGCTTTCCAAAATGGCTAAACTAGTTTACACTCCCACCAACAGTGTATAAACATTCCTTTTCCTCTGTGACCTCACCAGCATGTTATTTTTTTGACTTTTTAATGGTAGCCATTCTGACTGGTGTGAAACGGTATCTCATTGTGGTTTTGATTTGCGTTTTTCTAATCATCAATAATATTGAGCTTTTTTTCATATTCTTGTTGGTCGCATGCATGTCTTCTTTTGGAAAGTGTCTGTTTATATCCTTTGCCCACCGTTTAATAAGGTTGTATTTTTTCTTGTAAATTTGTTTAAGTTTCCTATAGATGTTGGATATTAGACCTTTACTAGATGCATAGTTTGCAAAAATTTTTTCCCGTTCTGTAGGTTGTCTGCTTACTCTGTTGACAGTTTCTTTTGCTGTGCAGAAGCTCTTCAGTTTTAAC